AGGAAGAGCAAACAAACCTTGAGGCGCTATTAAAAATAAAATTGTGAAAGCAATAAAAAGCCGGTTTCTATTATGATAGCACTACCAGATTTCGTTTGCGCTTCGGAACAGGGGAGAGGTAGGACGATATGATAAATAAGACCTTATCAGTGGGAGTAGCATGAGAAGGGCCCCAAAAAATGAGTTATCTAGTATGATAAAAACCAATGCTCATCTGAAAGTATATCAATTTCTATGTAAGAAAAACCACAGCTGCATTTCCAAACAGTAGAGAAAGTGAGAAGTTTCTGCAGTGATTGAAGTTCGCCCTTCGCGCAGCTAAATTTGGCATTTCAATCACCACAATCACCCTGTTCCTTTTAATTTGTACTGATTAGGTATGCAAAATACGAATACGATATGAACGAATTTGATGTTTAGTCCATTAAAATTAGTGTTCTTTACCATCTTTTAATACATAACGTCTGGAAAAATAAACCGTAGAAACTTTTCTTGACTTCCTATGATGAAATGAAAAATTTCAACGACCAAAGTTTCAGACTGGACTCCAACAAGCGTCTACTGCAATCTGGGTGAATGCACACGAGCCAGACTAAACGCTGTGCAATTTTTATTTTTTATATGAGGCGCAACAAATTACCCCGTACTACTTTGTATAGTTCTTTTTTATGTTTCATAGGCAAGGCGTTTTACCAAAATCTCACCTGATGGAAAGCGATGATGAGGCCTAGGATGGTACACGCCTGCCTAGAAGATGCCTGTTAACTCTGGCCTTTAAGATATCCAGATTATAATGGTCCAGGAAAACAGACCTCGGTAAGGAGTTCCACTCCCTAGCCGTTGGCATAATGAAAGCGGAAGCAAATCGCTTCGATATAATTGTATAGAGTAGAGTATAACTACTCTATACAAAGTAGAGTCCAGTCGGGAAGAGAGATGATGCGGCAGAAAGTGTGCCACTCCAGCTATCCCCTCACCTTACCGGCCTGAATTCAAACTCCTACCCCGCGGAGCCCTGGAACCCTACTCACCAGCAGAAACACAACACCACCAAACAACCTTTTCGTGGTGTTGTGTATTTCACTGCGTTCTTCTGTAAGGTGGAGGTTGCTTCCCCAGACGGGGCTCCAATTAGAGCGGGATATTCGCTATGCGCTACCTTTCTTGATTTTTTTAAATTTGTTATAGTTTGCTACATTTGTGAACTACCAATTTTATTATTTTATAAATATTCTGTGATTATTTCAACTAGAAATAGCTGTCGACTAGGCTATATCTAAAGAACTTTTTTACAGATACGGTGCAGTGATAAACTGATAGCTAAGGATGAGAATCGGGTTTCATTGACATATTTTGAGCACGGATCTTGAAAAGAAATTTTTGGTGATTCTGATGAAATTTTATAAAAGAAAACTCATACTTTTCTTGTAATAGAATATTATGGAATCTGTCAGCTAAAACAAAACCGTGGTGCGTACCTAAGGTATTGGCACCAATGACCGACAAGAATCAATGATCATCATAGTATTCTGTGATCAATGAAAATAAGAGTAGGTATGTAACAGATCAGTAAATATGGTAACATCGAACGTCTAAAGCTCTCTAGCCCGTACGAGCCCAATCATCGTTTAAGCATTACACATGAGCTCATTAGAAAAACTCTTACGGCAATTAACGTGGAACTTGTATTTCCGAGTCCAGGTGCATCGCGCCCACGTCCCCGAGCAGCGTCTTGGCTACCGACCCACGAACTATTTCTGCTCGCTCAAATGGCGAATGCCAGCCATCCGCATACGAGACCACTCCACTCGGAATCGCTGCATGTCCACACGTCTCAAAATTTGCATTTAAATTATGATGATCTCCAGTTAACTCACACATACCTAATTTCAATTATAAGTTGTCTGTATAAACAGACAAATATAAATTACGGACAGAAATGCTTGGGGTTTTATCTGGTCCAAACGTTCCTCCAGGCTGTTTCTATAATTATGATAAAAATGACATGATTTCTTATCGACACCGTAACAATATTATATTTTGTTACTATTCTTATATATAATGATGTAGGTTCTTTCGCCAGTTTTCCTCCACAGCTAAAAAAGTCCTTTACGGGCGTTAGGTAAAAAACAAATGGACGATTAAAAGAGTTGTGTTATGATTCCAAATTATAATTGTGTTAAAACCAATTCCAAAAAAAAAAATTTTCAAATACATCACACATACATAGGTATATGGACTTACAAAACCGTAAACTATTCTGGATAAAGGCTGTCTTATTGGTATAAGTAACCTCTTCATTTAATGTGAACCCAAGCATGCAAGTTGACCTCAATCTATGTTTATAACTTTGATGTCATCTTTATGGAGGAAAAGGCAGCCGCTGCTGAGTTTCTTGCGGGTTCTTCTCAGTATCTACAAGTAGATTTGCGAACCGATGGCGTAATTTTCGACAATCACATGTGCTTTTAAAAGCCTAAGCTGAATAAATGAGTCGAGAGTTCGAATTCTAATGTATAGGTTACCTTTTTGAGCAGAACCATAGACAAACAAACATGTGCGGTAGACGTTTTGTTTGGTCTCTGTGGATGCCCGTTGCTCAAGTTATTTCCCGGGGTGTATACCTCTCAGCGCAACTTTTTTATACAATGACTTCAGCGTACGACTGACATACATAGATCGATAGAAATACACAAATACTGTCCTCGTCAGCTTGAATTTTTCAATTCATCGATTCTTTGATCACATTGACATGTTTTTCTTATTCTATTTTTGCGGTGAGTGTGTGAACGACTGGTCGTGCTCAAGTGTCTCTTTTGAATATTGTGTTCTGGGTTTTTGAAACAATATTTAAAATTTGTGAGAACCTTGATTCTTAACGTATACATTAGTACCTATTTATTATTTGATGACGGTCCCAAACCCTAGTATCCCTAGTGTTCATCGGTTTGCTCCTGATATTTTTATTTATTGCTAGCGGCCCGTCCCGGCTTCACACGGCTGGATTAAATGCTATGGAAACATAATGAATCAGCATCCGAAAAAAGAACATGAATAAATTAATACAGATTTGAAAGTAGCCGGACTGAGTTTCTTATGTAATTCTTTCCCATTGCCTTTTGGAAGCCTCGTAGTCACGCCACGACATACAGACACAGTTTTTGACTCTTTGATGAATCACAGCAGACAGACATACTTTTTGACTCTTTGACAGATTACAATTGACTGGTAGAGGTCTTGATTCTTTGACGGATCGTAACTGAATGACAGAGATTTTTACTCTTTAACATCACAACAAACTTACAGATTATTTGACTATTAATTTCTCAGATCACAACAGATTGACAGACTTTTTGACTATTTGACAGATCACAACTGACTGACATAGTTTTTGATTTTTTGACGGACCACAACAGACTGATAGAGTTTTGAACGAATCAGAAAAAAATTGCTGAAAACAGGTCGAATATCTGATATCTACTTGTTCAGGGGCATGGCCACCCTGATTTTCAGCTAAGCAAAAAGTTTCTAAGTAAATAGATCGAGTATATAAAATCTATTCGGCTATGGGCATGGGCATTTTCTGTTTAGCAAAGAGTCTTTTAGGCATATAGGTTGAATATCTTTTTATACCAGAATTCCCAAGTTAACGTGAACTTCGCGGGTAAAACCGTGGGGCGCAGCTAGTAATAACATAATATAACTAATTTGCTGAATATATTTTATAGATAACAGATAACTTGATATCCTTATTTATCGTCGTAGATATCGAATTTAAAAAAAAAATTGTCAAGCTAGCCAAACTCGTTTTCCCATACAAACTTTGAACCCCTAAATCACCCAATTCGCGTTTGAATATTAAAAAATCCTTTCTCGCATGATCCCTACGTCATTTAAACAAACTTGCTAAAGGTGAAAACTATGGGTGTGCGTTGACGCACTATTTAAAACTTCGACATGCTGATTCTTTGTTTTATGAGGGTAGTTTTGAAAAATTTATTTTTATTTTATACAGAGTAGGTCTGCAAAGTTATAATTAAACTTATGCACTTTTGGATGATCTCCCATACAAAATTTGATACGAAATTTTGTAGTTTTTAGAGGGTAGTATTAAAAATTTCATGTAACAGTCTTAGAGTGGGAGCACACGATGCGTTGCGGCGGCGGTGCGGCGCCGCAGCGGTGTCGATGCGTCATCTTACATAGAAATATCTGTGGCATGTCACACAATGCGCTCCGGAGCCGCATCGGCCTTGCAACCACCGAGACGAGGCGGGGAGGGGTGAAAGAGTTGCGACGTCGCGTCGGAGCGGCACCGCTCAGTTGTTTATGCGTCATAGTGAATGTACGCTGCTGGTGCGCCGGCGGTGCCGATACGATGTAACAACGATGAGGTGCCGCACCGCTCGAGTGCCCACCGATACGACGAAATCTTTGCGGTGCGGCGCCGCAACGCACCGTGTCTTCACGCACTTAGTGCACATGTATTAAATAATGTTTATGCAGTTTGCAGTCAATAGGTCCAAGGGATAAGATTTTACGAACAAACCTTTTTTGCAAATTTCACGCTTAAGAGGATGAATTTCAAATAATCCCATCTTATTATTAGGAAGCTACTGTCCAAATTTCATCATTCTAGGTCCAGTCGTTTCGGTTGTACTTTGATGAGTCAGTCAGTCTGTCAGTGTATCCTTTTCTCTCTTTATATAATATAGTATAGATGATGATTCAAGGCTTTTTTCATTCAAGGCGAATATGCTAATGAAGTCGTAAGTGTGTCACCTTATACCCTGCATTTACAATCTCAAAGTTTTATTTTCGACCTTATTTTACAGTGCTTCTTAAGGCGACCGAGGCGAGGCTGGCAAATGATGAAAGGTTGTAGAGACGTATTCTAGGTGAAGAAGGCGTCTCTTAAGGCTCTGACTTGGGCCCCTCTTGTAAGCTGTGCCGAGGGAGGGTTAAGGAAAGATCAAGAAGTTATTGCATCTATTACTCACATCATCCCCTTTCTCGATTGCTCCGAGAGAGGCTAACGAAGCCCTGGAGCCGCCGTGCTGCTGCCGCCTGAGGGCTCTTTCTGTCTCCACACACTGTGCCAGGGGTACACCGAAAACGCTGCCCGTGTGTGAATCTGAAACAAGGCACTGAGTCAAAAATGTTTTAAAATAAAATGAAAATTCTTCCTAAGACTGGCTGACCTCTGGCGCGGAGCGACGCTGCGGAGCGGAGAAACGAAGAAATATTAATCAGTAGGATTGCACAAAATCTGTCCGCTGAAGAGGAGCGGAGATTTTGTGCCTTCCTATTGATTAATCTATTGAAGAGGAGCTAATACCTTGTTGTGTGTGTTATTCACACTTTACTCATGCTTAATGGACCAAGAGAATTTGAGTACGATATCTACATTTTAGGTTTTGACTAAGGAATGGAGCTTTTACTGCGATTTTGTTTTTTATGAAAATATCGCATTTTTTGCTTCGCGAAAACCAGAATCATCAAACAACATCACCGTAACTTACATATTATAAAATGCGATATAATGTAACAAGCATAAAATTCAATTACACAATGTGGTACATTCCATTCAATTAAATGGCGTTCTGCAGATCTAGTGAAAATGAAATAGCTCGTGTGTGGAAATAATTCCCGAGTTTTTCCTGATTTCAAATATCAGTTTTATTATTAAAGCGCAAGAAGTTTAAAAGTTCTCGTTTCCAATGTACCGGAATGGGAGAGCTACTGTTAGTTTAAAACGGGGATGGGAAAACTACGGCCCTCGAATCGTTAATATGCGACCCGAGACCACTAAACAAAAATCAAAGGTTCTCACCAAAAAGTACAATTTTTCACATGAGCCAACAAGGACCAACCCGCTGCCGAACCTTGTTCGAACCTTTTTTTTTGTGACGCAGGCATAACCTCTATGTACAGACGACGGCGTCTATAAGAGGCATACCGCCGAACGGACCTCACACCTGGCTCCCGCAAGCCTTAAGGGCGGTGACAGCCCACTGAGGACCCCGTAATTCTTACGGATGCTTTACGGCATAATATCTGCTAAAAAAGCGAATACCCTCTAAGCTGCTAATGCGAAATAATGGGTTCCCCGTTTAGGGATTCTGCCGCGTTTACTTCTCAGCAAACTCAGGAGCGTATTAACCTTGCTGCTGAGCTGCAGGGTGAGTGGCATTCGTTACTGAGCTATTCATCATCATCATCATCATCAACAGCCTATCCGTGGACTAGGATAGGCTGGACATAGGCCTCTCCAATTGCACGCCCTTCAGATCGATCTTGGGCTACTCGCATCCAGCTTCTGCCAGCCACCTTGCGCAAATCGTCACTCCACTGTGTCTGAGGACGTCCCACACTAAGTTTGCCTAGACGCGGTCTCCACTCCAGATCTCGTCTACCCCAACGGTTATCGATTCTTCGGCAAATATGGCCAGCCCACTGCCATTTCAACTTGATAATCCGATGGGCTATGTCGATAACTCTGGTTCTCTGTCGGATTACCTCATTTCTGATGCGATCCCATTTCTGATGCGATCCTCTGTGCATAAGAGGTTTTGCCCGTAATCGCCACGCTGGGCAGGCGGGTTAGCGATCGCAGAATGTAGGTTGATTCACTGATGACGCTGCTGCCCGTCAGACTGAGCTAGTCAGAATTAGTTTTGATAATTTACAAATTCTAGGGGGACGAAGTCCGGGTGTAAGTCGTAAGTGGCCCGAGCAGAACTTTTCTCGCCATAGATTTTGATAGTAAATATTTGCACGATAAGGAAATAGTTTGCCCGTCCCCGCTTTAAAAAATCCGGCACACTTTGCCAGCCTTCGCCTATTTTACGCAAACCTCATTTGTGCACAATAACAAACATGACCCAATTCTCACCGTGATAAGGAAGACTACGCCACTTTTGCGATTTTGGCTCGTGTTCAATAAAAAATTATGTGTACAAGGAATAGCGTTGGTTGGCGATACAAATCACCCACGCCTTTTAGTATCTAATGTTTTAATTCCTCAAATTTCAAATATCTTGTATGTTCATAGACATAAAAACAGGATGGATGATATGAGTTACAGAAAAAATATATGTAAAATGGTGAATACTAAAATAGTGTTTACAATATAATACCAAATTCACTTAACAACAAAAGCAATCTTGTCGTTAAAAGTTGTAGATAGAAAGAAATTACCTGAAACCTTTTTAGTAATGTTTGTGTATCGTCAAATATTACTAAATTAAAATTATTATAATTTTTCCAGAAACTACTTATACGGCTGGTTTTCACAAAACTAGAGTTGCTACAAGATATTTGAAAACGCATAAAACTACATTACGGTAAGCTAAAATGTGTACTAGAGTTCTCGGAAAAGCGAAAAAAATACAAAGCTTACACGCGCTCCGGTGCAATAATAAGAGATTACGTAGTCTGATTGGCGAGTGTTGCCACCCACGTGGTAAAAGTTTTCAAAGGAAAAACCCCGGCGTTGATACATACTGTAACACTGGGTAGGTACACAACAAAAAATCATGGTATATACCACCAGCATGGGAACCCATTATACAACAGATAAAATCCCAACCCCGAGCACACACTGCAAGACCAACAGATACTATTAGTTATTTTTGTTTGCATGATTTAACATAAGAAGGAGATAGAAAGACTCTCTGAGTTTGTTTCGCCGGTCCTTCTCAGAATGGTCTTCCAAATTTGGAACCGGTAGTTAGGGTCAAATCAAATAACTCAAAATTACAATTTTTTTTTAATAAAGTACTTTATTAATTAAATTAGCTAATAAATTCATACATAGACAATAAAGTTTTAAAAATCTTCCAATGAAATATCCGAACGTTCAATAAAAGTCTTTCGAAGGTAGCTCGACAAAGTAAATAAAAAAAAAACATTATTCAGACGACGCAGACCTGAAAATGCTGCGTAACGTCAATGAATAAATAAAATCAGTACTTCTAACCCGTTGAAAACTTGTTTTATTTAATGAGTGATGTGCGTGAAAAACTAAGAAACAAAAATGTAAGTATCCTATGCTAAAGTGAAATCGAAAAAAAACATAGAATACAAGTTACTAATCCCGACTTTTCTCTAAAAACCCTGGTCACGGTAATTAAGCAATGAACTGTCTTCATAAATAAATCCTACTGACAGACAGACAGACATTGTGGTTTGAACCTATAAATGTACCTATGTGTTTTAGTGACGAAATTAAGAACATAATACAACAAACAATACCGAACAAACATACAGATAGTGACTATTCACATGACAGAAGAAAAAAAATTATGTGGTTTCATGACATGAAACTTTTAATTATTTGATGTTACTCTGGTTTATAAACAGCCCTTCCTCTATTAAAGTCGGGGCGCCCACGAGGCAGGTGAGATCTCTACCATTGAACCGCCGATACTTGATGATACAAAAAGTTACGGAGTTACTCCGCGATCATGGCGCTTGCTACAATGCCAAAATAATCCCGTAAATAACATAAAATACTGTAACGTTAGTGACCATGGAGGTTTAAAACAGTAATAAAAGTTTCACTTTAATAGAAAACTCTTTCCATTTAATTGTTCTTTAGAATGTATGTATTCAGTTTTATCTTTTCTCTTCTATAATAAGTAGCGAGTAACCACTCAGGCCATCAAAAATGTGTGCGTGTTTATATCTGTGCTGTGGTATCGCGAAGAACAATATATCGGCCTGCGATGACAGACAGTTATCATGTGAGTCTGGCTGTACTATTTTTGCCAGTGTGTGTATGTAATGTGTACGCGGAGCTTTAGCAGCGCACGCGCTGTTTTCAAAATTCATTATTCCCAGAAAACGAAACATTTTTAGCTGTTGCTGAGGCTTTTCTTCTATCGTCTAGACTAGACTAGACATTCTGTGTTTAATCTCGCTGTTGTAACATGATTAGATGAGGCAACATCATTGTTAATATTACTGGTTAGTTGGCGGCAGCTATAGTCACGAATTAGATTAAAGTGTTTTTTTTTACGGTGTCCTCACGAGGTATTTGTATCTGGGGGCACAGTAGTGCCCCCGCCAAGACGACAAGGCGAGGCAACCGAAGCGCAAAGGCACTACCTACCTTTTCTCGAAGCTCTTCGATATCCTTTTTATAATTTATAATAAAAATAACATGATGTAATACAATATACGTATAAAATTTTAATTTTGGTAATGTCTTCGAAAATTATTAAATTTATAAAAGCGATTTATTTGGGGAGCTTGAAGGCAAATTATTAAATTGGATTACCATTTTAGAACTTGTACACAAAAAAAGAAACAAAATAAAACAAATTAAAAATATTGACTTATTAGTCCTGTCAACTTAGACATTCAAAGGTAGGTACATAAATTCACATCAGCTGAAAGTGAGTAAAATTGTTCAAAACAATTAAAAATAACACACCAAAATTTTAAAGTTGTAAGCGTCATAAAAACTGAGATTTAATGATTCAAAGCTGACGAACTGAATTAATGAGTATCTAAAGAATGGTAGCTCTTACGAAAATAAAAAATTTCAACACTTTTTTGTAGATAATTTTATGATCTACATTTTTGTCTAAAGTAATTTTACGATAAAACTTACTGTTTTGATGACATAGCAAGAACCCCATTATTTTTACCTTTGACTTCGAGTATTTTTTTCCATATACTTATTATATTTTGATATGTTATTTTTAATTATACATATTTTTAACAATTGTACTCACTTTAAACTTGATGTGAATTTATGTACCTTCACTCTAAGTTTTCTGCCTAATTTGACCGGACTATATGTAATCTTCTTAAATAATATATAAAAGAAGAAACTGACTGTTTGACAATCAACGCACAGCCCAAACAGCTGGGTCTAGTTTAGACTCCAAATTTGGCACGTAGGGTCCTTAAGACTCCGAAAGGTTTAAAATAGGGGATGAAAGTTTGTATGAAGAATCTTATTTCTTTATTTAATAGACTTGAAACTTGGCACGAATATTTATCTAAGTAAATTATAAAGCTTGTCACTTTAATCGGCGGTGTCAAAGTTTTACATGGATGAATTATAACGCGCATTTCGATTAACTCGAAACTTGGTATTTTTACCAAAGACTAGAAATCAAA